GTGAATGCACAAGTTGTGTAAAGCGCTTTGAGTGCTCAGATGAGTAGAAAAGCGCTATATAAGAACCAGTCCATTTACCATTCAAGTGTTCAAAGAGAAGAACAGGCCACAAAGCAGGGGAGGTGTGTTTAGTTGTTATATTTGTGTACTGTATTCAAATTAAAATTCCAGGCAGAAGTTTTACTGACTTTGTATTTTAGTGTAGTACACCTGTATCGACAGAGTTTTTAAGACCGATTCTAATATTTGGTGATCCCAAATACCAGCCTCCAACTTTTGTTTTTTTTTTTTATCCGGACTCACGAAACATAAACAGATTTCACTAATATTTGTTTTGTGTGCTTATTTATTAGTCCTTATTTAAATATTAAAAACAATCTTGTTTTATTGTCACAACAAGCAGTTGAAACACTGCCCAGCTCTGCTCGGATCGACTGGTCGTTTGTGGTATTCCAAACATTCTGTCTTTTCTTTACGTTTTACATTTGCATTTATTGGCTAGTATAAATAAATGCTGATATAGAATCCAACAGAATAGCATCTCTGCTATACCCATCAAAAAAGATCAGATAATAAAAACAATAACAAATACGTTATTACTCCTAAGGGAAAGATTATACAGGGTGCAATGGGAGTTAGTGCAAGTTATTGTAGTGTATGGGGGGACGATGGAGGCCACGTCTTGGGGGAAAAAGCTGTTTATATAGCGGCAAACGGCTAACGGATTATATAAGCCGGACTCTGAATATCGGCCTTCTTGACTGATGTGTCACATGACTTTATGAACTTGCTCAGTGTTCAAGGACAGCGTGGTGGAGCAAATATACTCGTTGTTTTCTAGCAGTAGTTCATCTCTAGAACTTACATTAGCATCTCCGTGAGGCACTGTGCCATATTTTTAATTATCCAAATGAATGATGTGTTCCTCATATATAAACATATATGCTCTGATGCACCCGTGTTGCTCATCTTTCATTTGAATACCCAAGAAAATCATCAGTAACATGGTTAAACCTTCTCAAGACAACATATTTCCATGAATTCTTTAAGCTTTATTCCCAGCCATCTATTACTGGTGCCTTCATCACGGTGTTAAGCTGGAGAATACAATTTACATGCATATTAAGTCAACAGCAATTGGAGGCTGGTGGAATCTGTGTCTGCTGCAGTTCTGCTCTGCTCTCCACCTTGCGTCCCCTTCGCTGCCAGTTAGCTTCACAACAAGAGCTGGTTGTCTGATGTGGTTTCTCAGGCACGGGCCGTGTCTCCCAGCATCAGGGCAGAAATCACAGAGACCAGTGCAGTTATAACATAGCAGTTTACCCCACTGTTCTCACAGCCTTGCATATCACTGTAGCTTGAAAGTGTGGCTGTGGAGGGTAATTATTGCATTCTTTAACTTAGCCAGTCTGAAGATAAATAGAAAGCCCTGCCTCGTAAAAGGAAACGCATTCTCATTGGCTGTGCCTGTCTGGGTATGATACTGCTTTTTTATAACCCGGTCCAGTTCGGTTCAGATCCTTCGTAGTTTCGCTGTGCTTTTGTCCTCGCATGTGTTGAGCTAATTACAGAGGGATTGGCCTTAATAGATTTGGTGGCATTTTTGTGGCCGCTCTGGTCTGTTAGGATAACATACCACGAGTCTGCCGTTTCCTTTCGAGTTCAGTTCAGTTTGTGCATGAGCCTGAAATTAAAAACACCCCATTTCAACATTCTCCGGGGCAGGCCAAAGCGAAATTAGTCATCTCGCGCTGGGGATGAGCATAATGCGCTCCAAATGCTACGCTCAAGCTCATGTTGAAAATGTTAAAAAACAAATAAATAATCAAAAATTGCACCGTCGGTTTGGGCCTTTGGTTTGTATCGAGTTCGCTAAAACAGTAAAACGTGGAGGAGAGCACGCAAGAGACACGGCGATGTTATGAAAACGCTGTTTTTGAAGCTCATAAACTATTCTGCCTGCATTTGTCCCTATAACAAGTTTATTGGAGTATGGCTGGAATATGAGATAAATATGACTGATTCTTTGTTGTTGTTGTTTTGGTTTTTTTAGAGCCTTAATAATATTGCTTGTCCAAATAGACCAGAATACCAAACAGGCATGCTCAAATGAGAATAGAGCCCAGCCATTATGGAGAATATAAACATCCCACCCTCTTTTCTCTTTCACATTTCTGATAAGGATCATGGAGAAGGAGGGAGAGAGAGAGAGTAGACAGCTCAACGGCCCCTTTCTTTTTCTTGCCACACACTCCCCCCCCCAACACCCCCACCCTTTTTCTAATTAACATTGTGCATGTTGTCAGGCTTTGTTTAATAATGCATGATTGCTATCAGCAGCAAAATCCTTTGAATGAAACACTACTGAATGGGAACACAATAATACCACCGGGGGCTCAGGAAGAAAGACAAGACTGTTGGTGTTTTTTTTTTCTCCCCCTTTTCATTGTAATAAATGTTCAATGACAAGCATCAGTGCCACCAGATATATGAACGAGAAGATTCGCAGAGCGACGCCGAATGGCCGCGTTGAGGATGAAACGATCAAAGGTGATGCTGTTGGTTTACACCGACTGATGCATACAGAGAGGATGATGCGGATTTGCATGCACGCCCGTATATGTAATTGTAGAAGCTTCCACTCCCAAAAAATACATCAAAAAAATCTGCAGTATTTAAGCTAAATCCATTGTCGGTTAACAATGCAGTTGGCAAACTGCTGCCTTTCTGCCAGGTCTGGCAGGTGGCTCGTCACCCCCATAGCACATTAGGAAGGAATCTGCAGCACAGTTTACTTGTAAAAATGAACACTACAAATCAACACCAATTATAATTGCTTTCATTGTTGGTATAAATTATGACTGCGCTGGGTGCATTTTAGCCTACATTAGCTTCTCCTTCTATTTACTCACATGGCGTAGCCTCTTGGTTGTCTCACTAGCGGTTACACAACATACAGATGGTTTTGTTTGCCTCTATCAGCGTGTGTGTGTCTGTGTGTGTGTGCAAATGGGTGTGTATGCATGCGGGGTGCAAACAGAGAAGTGGAGGGCTGCCGAGTACTGTTTCTTGTGTGCTACCTAATGTCGTGTCATTATGGAAATTCACACTTCATTAATTAACTCAAAGGCTATCACTTAGATTTGGAGGGGCAGATGCGTGAAACAATAACCGGAGGAGACAGACGGCCGCACGCCGCACCGCGCCACGTATGGATCACGCTGCAGCTCCAGCCCCTCGCGCCGCTGCTCGGGGCTTTTCAGTCCAGTTAATTCTAATCAGATTCATCGTCGCTACAAACACTGCTCATGTGAAAATTCTGTCTAGTGTTCTCAGATGTATGTTATATGCATACACGTTTTTGTTTGCGTGTGTGTGTGTGTGTGTGGTGTGAGCGGGGATGAAATTGCCTCAAATTGATTCCCTTTGCCACCCGTCCCCCCCGCTCTTGCATTCGCTACTAGCCCCGCGGTGCTTGGAGACAGGTAGTCATGTCTATCTCCCCCCAACACAAATCGAGTGTGACAGGTGTGCTATCTTCCCGTCTTTTCTGCCATTTACAGCCCACAGAAATGAAAGAGGGAAGGCTAAGAACGAGACAGAGGATGATTGGTAACAGGGAAATGAGGTACTTTGTCATCATCGGGCCTAGTGATTGGGCTTAGGGGCTGCGTTTTTTCCCTTTTTTTTCCCTTCTTTGCTTCCTACTAGTGAGTGGCGGTCAAATCTGCAGATAAACACCCCAGCGTAATAATACTTCTAGCAAAAGCCTTTATGTGCACAGTTACCAAAGACAATCCGAAAACTGATGCGCTTTTGATCTCATGGTGCACAAAGTGTCTGAAATGTCACGGTGCGCATACCGTGCGCGCATCCAACTCCACCAGTCTCCACCGCAGCTGAAACAACAGCGGCTTCCCGCCGAACAATGCAGGCAGACGAGCTAAGATGCTAACCAGCGGTACAGTGTGTCATCAAAGCTCACACACTCGGATTAGCCGGGAGCCGTGTTATGAGCCGAAGACTACCGCACAGCATCCATCACTGAGGATCAAGCTCGGGCTTAAGCAAATGGATGACAAGGGATGGAGCCGGTCTGCGGCTAATACTAGCTCACTGTATCACATTGATTTTCACAGCCATGTAGTGGTCCTGAGATAAAAGGCTGAAACATGAATGAATGAACGGCTCCTCGCTCTGTCTTACAGATTTTATTTGTTGTTTGTGCAGCAAACGGATAAAAGACTGAACCACACACACACACACACACACACATACATACATGGGCTCCAAGTTAAGCTACTCTACTTTGTATAGGCACTTAGAGCTTTTAAAGAATTGATGGAAATGTTGTGTATGGGCTACAGATGAACGGGTTTAGCAAACATGTACAAGATAGCACGGTGTCGTTTACAGACAACTTTTATGTCCAGTGATGTTAAAAGTTTAAGCAGTTTTACTGAATAATGGGAAATCGCTTTTGCATTTCGGGATTATTACTGCATTTCCTGGCTGTTGCTTTATGGGAGCGAGGCCTTCCTTATGTGAAACAGATATCGCTGCTGATCTGAGGTGGACTTGGAAGGTGCTCATATTATGGAGCGTATTTAATTGGCTCTCGTGACCGGAGCTGTGAAGACAAAATCATATTAACTCGCCCTTTCATCTGGGCGGTTTCTCCCCCTCTCTCTCTCTATGGCTTGCACTCTCCGTCTCACTCCTTCTCATGCACACGTGCACACGCGTTGTGTGAAGTGACTATTCCATTTAGAGAACTGTCAGAACATACCCTGTGAGCACATCAGGCTCTTCCTATCCTCTGTCAGCTCCAGTCGAGGCTGTGTGGGGGTATGTCAGAAATGTGCAGGAATAGATAAAACCCGTGGAGCCAAACAGCTTTGTTTCATTCATTCTCCTCTCTCTTTCTCTCTCCTTTTTTCCCCCCCCTCCTCATCCCCTCCTTCCTTCTCCCTCTTTCTTTCCCTCCTTGCCTCGCATAGGCTGTGAATACCCTGCATCTGAGAAATCAGACCAGACTGACTCACAGGGCTCTGTGAGCCAGTGCCACCGAGGCTGCCAAAGCATGCTGGTGCCAAGCTGTCCCACCATGCGCAGAGCCAGACCCAC